GAGGTACGCTAACTATCCTTCTGTATTCAGATTCAGAGCTTCAGAGGTTACGTTTTCCAGAAAAGCACAGACAGCTTCATTATGAATAGCCGAGTCTTCAGAAGAAGCTTTGCTTGTGCTTCCTGGCTTTCCAACTTCCATGTCTGCTGAGGTTTTTACGAGAAGGGCCACATGAATTCAGGTCGTGAGGGAAGCGAAAGGCCGGCTGCCGGTGTTCCTCGACGGCGGCGTCCGCCGTGGCACGGACGTGTTCAAGGCCCTGGCGTTGGGAGCTTCAGGAGTGTTCGTAAGGACGACGCACCCACTGGATGCTGCTAACATTGTTATCTCGTTCAAGCTCGACACCTGACACTGTTGCTTGGTGTTGCAGATCGGCCGCCCGGTGTTGTTCTCGCTGGCAGTGGACGGCGAGGCTGGCGTGCGGAAGGTGCTGCAGATGCTGAGGGACGAGCTGGAGCTCACCATGGCGCTCAGCGGCTGCACGTCGCTGAGGGAGATCACCCGCGCCCACGTCATCACCGACAGCGACAGGATCGGCCGCTCGCGGCTGTAGAATGTACAGTTCAGCTCAGCATGTTGGTCTCGACTGAACTGTCCTAATTCTAGATACCGCTAGCTGTTGTGCTCTCATTTTTACGTTATGCAAATAAGGAAGCTGCGTGTGTGTGTGTGCCTGTTGATGACGTTTGTTTGCACCGCAGTCGTAGTTGGCTAGTTGCCAGTGTTGATTGGCGTTGGTGGTTGTTTTTTTTTATAACAATTGGTGGTTGGTTTGGGTTTCGACACATGGAAAGGAGTTTATGAGATCTGGGTCCGGTTTAATAATACACTAGTCCATCAATCCGTGTTTCGTATAAATTTATAATTTTGGGAGTCATAAGTATCGGATGCTGCGACTCCTTCCATTGGAATGATAATTATATTTTCAATAGACAAAAAATTACGGAAATGCTATGTACAAGGCGTTCGTCTGTCCGAACGCCACTTCGTGGGCCTGCATACCAGCCTAATAAACCTCTAGTCTACATCCACTCATTTTTTATTACGGCATTCAAGTCCGTCTCTTCTGTTGCGTCGGTTGGATAAGGAAAGGAGGAGACGAGAGACTTACTCCGCTCTGCTCCGCACGTCGCCGGTGACCCCGCCTGCTCTTGCTCCGTCGGCCGCCTGCTACTCCTACTCTACGGTCCGCTTCGCCGTCGACGGTCACCCCACGCTGCTTCTTCCCCTGCTCCACCGCACCGCCCCGCTGCTTCTGCTCTGCGGCCCGCTTCGCCTGACGGTGCGGGCACCGCCGCGCCCATGCGTGGTGACCGCTCTCTCGGCCGCCTGCTAGCCACTAAGGCTGCTGCGCAAGGAGAAGCGTCAAGCCCTAGCGTGGAAGCCCTCCAGCCTCTCCTCCTGCTAGGCTGCGGCGCCCAGATGCATACGACGGAGGAGGCCGCATCGAGATACAATGCATGTTACGAGTGTATATTTCAAATGTTTCAGATGTTTTAGAGCTATATTGCAAGTATTTCATAGGGATGTTGCAAAAGTAGATCGAGATATTGTACATATTGCAATGGGCTATACACATATGTTTCAAGTGTATGTTCCAAAATATTTTATCTGTTTCAGACGTATGTTGTAAGTGTTTTATTTGGATGTTGCAAAACTAGATCGGGATGTTCCATATATATGCAAGTGTTTCAAGTGTTTTTAAATGTATGTTGCAAGTATTTTATCTCGATGTTTGCAATGGCTACACATGTGTTTTTAAGGTTTTTCTGGTGTTTTGCAAGTGTTTCAGACGTATGTTATAAGTGTTTCAGCTGTTTCGGACGTATTTTGCAAGTGTGTTTATCTGGATGTGGCAAAGTAGATCGGGTGTCGCACATGGTGCAATACGCGTAAGAAACGGAGGGGGCGCGAGCGGTCTGGCGGCGCGTGAGAAATGCAGGCTGCCAGGCTCAGGCGGGGGCCAAGGAAACGGGAGTGTAGAGCGAGCGTCTATCCGTCGGGGCACTGGCATTGCCACAAAAATTAGTATTAAATATATTTTATCTCTTAATTTATTTTATAATATGTTGCCATTTGTCGAAGAATCAATATCATTTTAAAGTAACCTTGAAAACAATCTACTTATGTAAGTTTTAGTATTATAAACATGTATTATTTTTTTAGACAAAATAAACAAGTATTATTGACTAATTGTTTATCAGAGTTTATAAAATTTGACTTTTTCCCGTACAAAACACGTTTATCATTCCACGATGGAGGATGTTTCATATCTATGACTAATAAAGTTTACCTATATCTATATTTAATTGAGCTTTCTTTTTTCTTTGTTCATTTTCTATATGTACTTTGTACTACCTCTTTCCCAAAAGGATGCAATTATGGGTTGCGTACCAGTTAACGTGATTCATGTTTGATCAAATTTCTAGTAAATAATATTCATAATTATGGCTCCAAATCAATTTATTACGAAAACACATTTCGTATTTAATTTAATGCCATTTATTTTATATTATAAATAATTATACTTATTTATCTATAATTGGTCAAACTTGATATACTGAAACGTGACACCGTTCCAGAATTACATTCTTTTTGGGACGGAGGGAGTAATAATCACTATCAAGATGTGATAGTTATCAATTTACTGATCAACATATTTTTTTTTCCATCTATATCCATAGTATTTTCTATTTGCATGAGACCTAGTCTATCTTAATATACATTTAGTTGAAATTTTAGCTTAAATTATAGTATCTCTTTCCAGGGTCGGTGGTTATATCTTTATAATTTTTGTGAAAAATTTTAGGATTTTTTCCTAGCACTTGTTGCGCAACGTGGAGATTCCGTTGGACCTTTGGTTAGAACATTGGATAAGAACCGGAAAAGTAATGTATACTTACAATCCTTCGGTGTCAAAATAGTGTTGGAAAAACCAGATCACGCCATGCATAGGGTTGGCAATGGGTCTAGTACCCGATGGATATTTGATCTGTCAGAGGACTGGTATGGGATAATTTCTCTCTCCGTAGTGATATAAATGCTACCCCCTCCCTTCTAAAATATAAGGAATTTGATTTTATTCTAAGTCAAACTATAATAACTTTAATCAAGTTTATAGAAAAAAAGAAAATATACATAACTTGAAATTAACTTAATTAGATATATTATAGAATATATTTTGAACTTTTAATAACACACATCTTTGATGTGGTAGATGTTAATATTATTTTCTATAAATTTAGTCAAAGTTACTATAGTTTGACTTAGAACAAAACTGAATTCCTTATATTTCAGAACAGTGGAGTATACTCTCTCACCCGCTAGCCCTCGAGTCCTCCACCATCGCCCCATGCACATAAATGCATCTGTCGCAGCCTTCAACGCCATAGCTAGAGAGAGACCTAGTAAGGTGGTGAGGGTTTGACGGAGCACAACTCGCTAGTCGCTAGCTAATTGGCTAATAATTAGTTAAAGATTTGATAAAATTACCTGCTCGTTTCGTTGAAATTTGGCTTATGCTGATGCTAAAAAGTATTATTCGCTGATTTGTTGTGAGAGGAAAACACTGTACAATGGCTGATAAGCTGTGCTGATAAATTCAAGCGAACTGTGGTGAGCTAATTTTTTAGCTAAGTCTGTAACTAGTTGTTAACTAACTACCCAGTCAACCATACCTAATTTAGTCTAATTTTTAGGCTCAACTAGTAACTGCTCCCGTTTCAATTGTAAGTCACTTTGATTTTTTTTGTTCATCTATTTTGCTATGTATCTAGACATATTATTATATTTATATCTAACGACTTCTAATTTGGAACGGAGAAAGTAGTCATTTGTACCAAACATGTCCTAAATCATGCCCAAAAGAAACCAAAGTCTAGATAGAATAAAGATGATCCAATTTGGACAAAAAGTCAATCGAACATCTCTGCATCTAAAACGACTCTAAAGTAACCATCTATCTTGTATCTGGTGATACCAAATCGTGTCCGTATTTGATATGAACTCCTTCCGCGTCCAATAGGATGTCACCGTCTTTGATACGAAGTCCCGATCTTCGTGTGGTGGGCGCAGCGCTCCACCTTGAACGCATTGAGCCGTCGACCGTTTGCTCGTGCTAAGAAGATTTCCATCACGGACAACGATGAGCCATAGCGCTCCATGAGGCTCCGTTCCTGCCATACGGGCCCGAGGCCATGCCACGCATGTTGGCGAGAAGGAAACCGCTACCAAAGAGCCGCAAGGAGCTTCTAAAGCTTCAATCCTTAACAAGCGGACTTGACCAATGAGGCAACGACCAAGACATGCATGCTTGAGAAAGGAGTAGGTGGCCAGCTGATGACTGCCTACATAAAAAGACAACTGGACATCACTAAGTTCGACACATAAAACACAACTTGCCCAGTGAGTTACAGTAGTAACCATGAGTGCACGAAAACTAGCTAAGAACCGAAATGGAGGACTATGATATCCTGTTTCTGTGCTATACTCTGCTGATGTCCTATAAAATTCATTAGTTTTCTTTGATTTTACATCTGATCATTCATCTGGTGCAGCGCACGAGCATTACTCTAGTATAACAAAAATAAAGTTTTTGATGGTCAACAAAAGCTAAATCAATTCAAAGTTCCGAAAAATATCCTTAGGTTGCGAAATTAACCCTGTCTGGCTGCCTCCGACTCCCCACCACTCTCCGCCTCGCCCGTCCGCGGGCCGTCACCTGCCCCGCCTCGGCGCACGCACGGCGAGGCATCCTCTAGGCCCGACGGCTCCGCTCGAACCAGCAGTCCAGCACCAGCGCCGATGCTGCAGCCCCTAATCCCAACTACAGCCGCCGGCCGCCGCCTCCCCCAACTGAACCGACGGAGGCATCGCATCGTTTTTCCTCGCCCGATGACCGCAGCCTGTCAGTATCCGCGTCATGCTGAACCGTCTCATCCTAGTCTATCGCTATCACAACCAACAGCTTCATCGCCTACTGGCTACTGCTGAGGGAAGGGATGGCGAACTCGTCCCCGATAGCTACAGCTACAGAGCGTCGAATTCCACAGCCGAACAGCAGGTGCGAACGGTTTATCCACGAATTTACTTCGAGCAGAAGTGCTGCTGTCTGATACTCGAATCGAAACGCATTATTGCAGGAGATATTTTAGAAAGCCTACTTGCACTGTCACTGTCGGTCACTGCTGATAGATCAGATATTCAGATACCAATCACACTATCCTCGTCTTTGCATATGCACGAAGAGGACGAAATTGGTTGAGTGGTTACCAAAAACCAAACACTTTCCAGCATAATATGCATGCAAAGGACGACGAATTGGTTACCAGTTACCAACACTTTCCAGCATATGCACGCAAAGGACGAAATTGATTACCAAACCAACAGTTTCCAGTCCCAGCGGTAGGAACAGACCGTCACCAGCCAAAGATAATCCATTCCCTCACACAGGCACAAACGCTGAGCCTGCTCTCCGCAGTCTAGTAAGTCCTCTTGTTGATCCCTCCTGCAAAAAAACTCGAAAACTGCTTTGTTGTTAGTGCTATTTCTCCTCATCTTAGTTTGATGGATCTGTGTCGATTTATTGAAAGATGCAGACTTCCATTTCAGTTCATCACACTGTGGAGTTTGTTTTGATTTATAGCTTAGCACTGATATTTCGTCTTATCTTATATATTGTTTTGATCTTCTCACATGTTTCCTCAGTTTGCCTCAGTGCAGTTCATGAATTGCCTTCATCCTTTGCTCGTGTTGTTTTTGCCCCCTTCTTGACAGATATATGTCAACCACTAAACAATTTTTTTTTCTGACCTTCTGAATTTCCCCCAATTTTGGGCAGGGAGATGCCGTTGATCACGAATGTCTCTGACTATGAGGAGCTTGCAAGGCAGAAGCTGCCTAAAATGGTTTATGACTTCTATGCCGGGGGTGCAGAAGACCAGTGGACACTCAAGGAGAATAAGGAGGCATTCTCCAAGATTTTGTAAGCTATCTTCCAGATTGTTAGGTCTTAGCTGTGTTTATAAGCTCAACTGGATGACCTACATCACTTCATCCACTTGTGAACTTTTTGGATTTTGTTTTAGGTTTTCAAAAGACGTTTTGTAGCCTTAACATATGAGTTCTGAACTGTAGACTAAAATGCAAAGGAACTGACAAATATTGAGAACCACAAGCATGCAAGTTTATCTTTAGTGAATACAAACATGTTCTCCTATGCTTATTTCTTTTGCAGAAAATATATGAGTCGTGAAATGTCGCTTACATTTGTTTATCTTCTTTATTCAGTACAATCCAATTGAATTGTTCAAGTTTTGCTCTTTTGTGTTTGATCCAAATTAGAATCCAGAAAAGAAAAGAGATATTGAGAACCTCATTGTGTCCATCTAATGAACGGTATTAGGTTTCGACCACGGGTGCTGATTGATGTGTCTCATATTGACATGTCTACGAGTATACTGGGTTACAAAATTTCCATGCCTATTATGGTGGCTCCCACTGCTTTGCACAAACTGGCCCACCAAGAAGGTTCTATCTTGTTATAATTCACCTTTTTTCCTCTTTTGGCAACATTAAAAGGAAAGTTCTTTTATGGAGGTTCATCTGAAATGCAGGAGAGGTTGCTTCTGCCCAGGCAACAGCTGCTGCAGGAACTATAATGGTTTGCAAGATTGCACCTTTTTATCGGCTAAGTGATGACTGACATATTAATTCCTTTACTGGTTACATTTTTTTAGACATTGTCTTCATGGTCATCTTGCAGCATCGAGGAAGTTAACTCAAGTGCACCAGGACTTCGTTTCTTCCAACTTTCAGTATGAAGTTCATACTCATCATTACATTTTTACCTTTTTCCCTGCTTGATTTGATCTTTCCCCTGTTTACTGTCATTGCCACATTTAGGTATTCAAGGACAGGGATATTGTGCAACAACTTGTCAGAAGGGCAGAAAATGCTGGCTATAAGGCAATTGCCGTCACTGTCGATGCTCCACGGCTTGGTTGCAGGGAAGCTGATGTCAGGAACAGGTATGCATCTTGAATATATACAATGTAGTTTCAGCAGGAGTTCTGTATTTGAGCAGTACATACTTTACAACAAATTATGTATTGTTCTATGTGTCACTAGATTCACGCTGCCTGAAAATGTGGCATTGAAATGCTTTGAAGGACTGGATCTCAGCAAAATGGACAAGGTTTTCTGAAAACTTGAGCTGGTCTAATTGCATGGGGGTTCAAATTGAGATGAATATATTTCATTTCTTTTTTATTTTATTTTCATAACAGCTGTTTTGTGATATTGATATTTCAGACTAATGCTTCTGGCCTTGCTGCATATGTCACTAGTCAGATTGACAGCTCTCTTTCTTGGAAGGTAGGATTTGCAACATGCTAATCAGCTAATGTTAGTTGCTATGAATGACTTCAACCATCAGATGACAGTATCTCATGCATAAACGTCAGTGAAAATGAACTATCAACATAGTGTAATGCAGGATATCAAGTGGCTACAGATGATTACCTGGTTGCCTATCTTAGTGAAAGGAGTCATAACAGCAGAAGATGGTAAGTATTTGGTTTCAGTTATTTTAAATGCTACGCCACTCAACCTGATCTATGATTCCATAAAACATTTGCAAATTTGCAGCTCGACTTGCTATTGAATGCGGTGTTGCTGGCATTATTATGTCCAACCACGGGGGCCGCCAGCTAGACTATCTTCCTGCAACCATCAGCTGCCTTGAAGAGGTATGCAAATCAATCACAGCTGCCTATGATATCTCTGGTTCATGGCTTTATGCTAACTTGCCTTGGCAACGAAAATTTCAGGTTGTAAGAGAAGCAAAGGGCCGTGTGCCTGTGTTCCTTGACAGCGGCATCCGCCGTGGCACTGACGTGTTCAAGGCCTTGGCACTGGGAGCCTCAGGAGTATTTGTAAGTCCTTTGCTGGATTAATCTTACTTCAAAGCAGGAAGATTTCTTGACATGTACTGCATCATGCATTCATGCTTGTCCTCTGTCAGATTGGAAGGCCTGTACTGTTCGCCCTTGCTGTGGACGGCAAGGCTGGGGTGAGGAATGCACTGCGAATGCTGAGGGATGAGCTCGAGATCACCATGGCGCTGAGCGGCTGTACGTCGCTGAAAGATATTACCCGCGATCGCGTTATCACTGAGAGCGACATGATCCGTCGATGTAGGCTTTGATTCGTTTGCTGTTGTGCAGCACTGAAAGTCTGTTGCCCATTGCCCTGGCATGACTGTCTTGGCCCATTGGATTGGTTTTGACCTCTTGGCCCATGTGCTACTAGGTTCATTTGGGCTTTTTCTCATTTCTCTGCGTCTACCATTCAGATTGTTAGCCCATCAAGCCTTGAGGGCTTATAATTTCAAAGGCTGACCCAAATGAAGACATGACATTGATATGACGGCCACTCTATGACTTCATTATTTTCAGCCTACTTTTGCTCACCTGTGCTTGATAATATATGCTTCAATAAATCACAAAATTGCATATCAAACAGGTCTCACTTGAGTTTCGACACCGGCCAGCCAAATGACTGATATAGGGCGGAGTGGCTAATATTAACTAGTATTGGCCTGTATAGATGCTAGGATGGGATGGAACTACTTATGTACCAAAGTGGATCTAGTCAACAGTATGAGATATATCGGACATTTTGGTTGATACTGGAATCGTATTAATTTTCTCGAGTGGAGGAACCTTGTTCACCGACGACAAAAATATTTGAGACACAAAAAGTTATAGTTTCTGAATAATGCATCCAAATGAAATTATGATTGCACCATTGTATTTCTTACGATGAAATATTAAAAACAGGACCCCCGCTTGACGCATTTGGATGATATTTTTTTAGAAAATATTTTCTAATAATATTGAAATATTTTTTTGATTGAGATGAAGAATGTCCTTGGTTTACAGACTTACGGAAAAATTAGTACAATATTTAGGACAAAAATGTTGCAAGTTCAGATTCAAGAGAAAAATGTTTCAAGTTCATTAGAAAAAAAAGATCCACCTTCATAAAATTAAAAATATCCCCTTTGCTAATTTGCAATGTTCCAATAAATATTATCATCACGGTTTCAACAATTTTAAACCAAAAAATATTCAGCCATACATTTGTTCCATAAAAAGAGTAAATACAAATTATTCCTATAATAATAACTTCGACTGGGCTATATTCGTTCTCCCGGCGTGCTCCGTCTCTCCTATCTCAGCGCGACGACTACGCTACCGCCGCCGCCGCCGCCCTACGGCCCAGATCTTCGTCGGCCTCTTCTCAGGCAACGAGCACCCGAAGATGGTACGCCCGCCCCTTCTCTTCTCTACCTGCTGCGCGAAATCGAGCAGCACCAAAGCCTAACCTAAGCTATTTGGCAATTTGTAATCGGACCTGATCTAATCGCAAGCGCATACATGAATTATGCCTACTAACTTCGATTGTTTTGCAAAAACGTTATCGGGCGTAGATGCGTACACCCATATCCTTTGTTGGGTCCGCCCCCTGATCTGTGTGGCTTTGTTCAGGTGGTCCTGCAACCAGATCGGTTCCTAAGCGAGCTGACGAGCATGTACGAGCGGAGCACAGAGAAGGGATCCGTGTGGGTCACCATGAAGCGATGTGAGTGATCTCTCTGTTGCGTGTTGATTTGCAGATTGGAGCGGCTGAGGAGTTGAGGTCTGACCCCTGATGCGTTGTTGTTGTTTTTTTGGGGCAGCGACTCTCAAGGGCAAGGCACAGTTGCAGAAGATGGAGAAGAAGGGGCAGGAGGTAGAGCACCGGTGCCTCATCCGTGCCTCTGATGGCAAGAAGAGCATCTCCACCTCGGTACTGTGAGCTGTGACCATCCTTGTTCTGCTGCTGTGATTAGTTTTGGATAAGATTGCTGGTTTTGTGCATACTGTGTAGTGTGTAGTGGTGATTGGTGAGCAGTTTGCTAGCAAATTTGTTGCTAATTATGTCCATTCATCAGTTGCTATGAGTATGAATCTAGGATCAGACATTTTCGTTTGTATTTGCCTATGTGCTAAAACATCGTGGTTATTGATTATAAACACATGGTGGTAGGGTGTGCCATTTTGTTAGGTATGTAGAAAAAGTATATGGAAACCCTACAACCTTCGTAAATCAAAACAGTGTCCTCAATATTAGAAATCATATGACGACTAGTGGAGTGAGTCAAGGCCAAAGGCCACATGGGGTAGAGCATATAGCTTTGGCAGTATGTGGAGCTTCTCTTCTGTAGCATTCTAGCATGATGGAAAGTAGAGGGAAACTATAGAAATCAGCTTCTTAGTACTGGAATCCATAGGATATCATTGCTAATAATGTATATCATTTATACGTTTGTGTTTTCTGAGTTGTACTTTCTTAATGACGAAATAGCATAAACATTGTTTGGTTTCTATTGTTGTAATTCTTGTAACTTTGCATTTTCTTCATCATGGAAATGTGACTGCAAGGAAAATTGTATTCTGGTAACACAGATTAATAACTATATGTGATTAGTTTTGTTCTATATTGTGCACATTACTTGTCCTTGTATCAAATTTGTGCACAGCCAATTAAGGCATCTTCTTGACCAAATGCTTCAGTAGAGATTGATAAGCCTGCTAGTGTTATATTTACCTAGATGTTGACATTGGTATTTTCCATGCAATTCCAAGGTGAGCATACTCATTTGCAATTTCTTTTGTTGTTGTCGTGATGCTTAATTCATGGGAATTTCATGTATCCTTCATTCCTTCCTTTCCTGCTCCAAAACACTATCCCAACCTTTTGGAACTCTATGTTTACTCTCAAGTCATTTGCATGGCTCATGGAATGAGTTCACGAAACTTACTGTAATTCAACTTCTGATGTCCTCCAGGTCTCTCTAAAGGAGTACGCAAAGTTCCAAGCTTCATACGCAACAGTTCTTAAGGCCCATATGCACGCTCTGAAGAAAAGGGAGAGGAAAGACAAGAAGAAGGCTGCAGATGTTGAGAAGGCAATCGAGACCGCACCCAAGAAGCAGAAGAAAGCATCTTCAAAGAAAACTTCGGGGTCCAAGTCATAAGACGCTCGCAGAACTCACTGTGTGTCTACCGCCAGACTAATCAGAGTGTCATGAAAATTTTCTTATCCGGTTTTTATCCGAATTCGTGTCTGGGAGATGAAAGCCTGTGAATACACCTATATAGAGCCGTGCCATCGATACTAGCATTTTTGAAGCAGAGTTTGAGGTGAATGTGAGGTGCTGTGGTGTCCTGATTGACATTAACGAAGAGACATGAGTTTTGAACTTTTAGGTGCTGTTTGGTTGCATAAAGGTAAAGGCCTTTTGAACTTTTAGTGCTGTTTGGTAGAGAATATCTTCGTCGCTGGAATGGGAAGTGAATCGATGGTTACATGTTGTGTTTGGTTCACCTGTGGTAACAGGGTGGATGTGAGTGCAAATGCGCAATCGGTTGCTGCTCAAATCGGGCGTAGCCTACTTACTGAAGCATGTGATTGATTATCCTTTGCATGTTGGATCCTATCGATGGTGAAGCAAATAGAAAGTGTTAGATGCTTCACCATTAGTTCACTGTGTGATTGGATAACATCTTAGACGGTGACCATCGAAATCTGGTGCAATTTGCAAGGCTCATTGATACTGATAGAATTCGGTACAATTCGCAAGGCCTCGTTGGTACCGATAGAATTCGGTATGGACCTCATTTTTTAAGCCTGTGAATATACCTATATAGAGCCGTGCATAGGTAATATTCCCTTCGTTTCAAATTGTAAGTCATTTTGTCTTTTTTAATACGCAGCTTGTTATGCACCTAGATACATAGTAAAAGCTATGTATTAAAAAAAAATAGAATAACTTATAATTTAGAATGGAGGAAGTAACATTACTGAAGCAGAAGTTTTCATATGAACGTGAGCCCTTGCGGTGTTTTCTTGACTGGCATCAACAAAAAGGACATGAGTTTTGTAGTTTTAGATCCGATTATTGAATTCTGGTCCAGTTTGCAATGTCTCATTGGTACTGACAATTCGGTATGGGGGTATTATTTTGAGTTTGCAGTTAGGGTTGCGGTAGACTGCAGAATCATTTTTGCTCTGACGTACTCCTTCCATTGCAAGTTATAAGATGTTTTGGCCTTTTAGATATATTGTTTTTGCTATATATCTAGACTGCGTAGCCAAAAATTTTTTTTACTCCATCCGTTCTAAATTGTAAGACGTTTTGTCTTTTCTAGATACATTGTTTTAACTATTTATCTAGACATAATGTATATATAAGTGCATAGAAAAGTCTATGTATCTAGAAAAGCCTAAACGTCTTATAATTTTAAACGGATAAAGTATATTTAGAAAAAACAAAATATTTTATAATTTGGAATGGAGGAAGTATAAGGCTATGTTTATCTAGTTGCTTTTCCGCTTACCCTTAACTGTCTGGAAAATGTTATGTTGCGATTGAGATTTCCGTAATCCCATATGGTAGTGGTCATCAGAATACAATTTCTACAGTCTGGATGAGTTGGTGCATGAAGTGGCGAGGGCATGGCTTCTTGCCGGACACTGACATCCCTCAGTTTATCCCTCTCTGCAAACGTATGAGCCTGCTGTGCCTTCCTTCCCTGGTCTCGTTCAGTCGTTCAGTGCAGTCGTTCTGCCACCAGCCCACCATCTCTCGAGTGTCTGAACTCTCAAGTTCTCTACAAGAAATACGTACATAGCTATGAAAACTTCGTGTATACTGCATGCATTGTTTTTTTAATAGCGTTTTCCCAGCACAGTTTGAATGAATTTGGTTAGAATCGCCCGAATACGACGATATCATAATTTGTCTTCCATTAAACATTCTTATGTGCTACCAAATCAGCAATGTTGTGCTGAAGAATCTTTTGATTTGTTTTATTTACAGGCCCACAACTCAACTGAGTCGCTGCAATCTTTTTATCCCGATCCGAACCCCACAGCGTGGATGGAAACCAGCCCTGCTCCCTGCACCCTGCACGGAGTGGGTGAGGTTTGGTTAGTCGAGGATCCGTCACGATCCACCACCAAACCCGACAAAAGACGTGCAAAAAATAACCCATAAACCACACAGGCGAGCGAGCACTGATAACTCACTGATCCGTCACCACCACCAAACCTGCTGCTGCCTTTTGCTACGAGCGCGCGCACCACCACACACCCGATCCCGATCTCACCGTCTCCACCCACCCCCTCCCACCAATCTCCAAGAGCATCTAATCAATCAAGAGAACCCCGCGCCACCCGCCTGCCGGGGCTCGCGACGATGAGAGGCCTCCTCGCGTGCGCCACCCTCGCCCGCCGCGCCGCCTTCGCGCCCGCGCGCGTCCGCCACCTGGCGGGCGCCGCGGAGGCGGCGGAGGCCGAGCTCAAGAAGACGGCGCTCTACGACTTCCATGTCGCCCACGGCGGCAAGATGGTGCCGTTCGCCGGCTGGAGCATGCCCATCCAGTACAGGGACTCCATCATGGACTCCACCGTCAACTGCCGCGCCAACGGGGGCCTCTTCGACGTGGCCCACATGTGCGGCCTCAGCCTCAGGGGCCGCGACGCCATCCCTTTCCTCGAGTCTCTCGTCATCGCCGACGTCGCGGCGCTCAGGGACGGCACCGGCACGCTCACCGTCTTCACCAACGAGAAGGGAGGCGCCATCGACGACTCCGTCGTCACCAAGGTCACCGACCAGCACATCTACCTCGTCGTCAACGCCGGGTGCAGGGACAAGGACCTCGCCCACATCGAGGCGCACATGGAGGCGTTCAACAAGAAGGGCGGAGACGTCAAGTGGCACATCCACGACGAGCGATCGCTGCTCGCATTGCAGGTCACTGCCGTTTCTTGCCCTCTTCATGCTCTGATTCAGTTGATGACTGACTGCGATGGGTAAATATTATATTATGTTCCTGAGTGGTATTACTTCGGGGAATGGAGTTTTTAGGATATATGGAGATATGCTGGCGATAGAGTGACAACAGGCCAAGCGTTTGAAAAAAAAAAGATATGATTGATTTCAAATGTGCAGCAAGATCACTAGATAGATGGAGAGGCTTGTTTGACACATTGCGGTTTTAATCTAGTACTATGGCCCTGTTTGGGAGAGCGTTTGCTCAGCTTCTGAGCAAGATAAGCTGAAAAGCCCGCACAAACGCCTTGCGTTACGAGCCTACCAGCGAACGCGCTTCCGCGACTCACGGTCGCCCGCAACGCTTCCCAGATCGCGAGCCGAACCCAGCTTTTTCCAAATCGCGCAGGCTTTTCCTCTCCCTGCCCTCAGACCCGAGCGGTCCCGTGCTCGCTCCCTCCCCCGTTCGCTCCCTCCCGGCGCCGCTTGCCTCTCCGCCGCCGCTTCCAGCCAGTGCGCCGGCGGCCGTCCCCTCCCCTCCTTCGGATCTCCAGCCAGGGCGCGCCTCCGCTGCGCCTCCCCTTCCGTGTTGCCGATTGTGTCAGGTAAGCAGCCGCGGCGCTCGCCGTTCTCCGTTCCTCCTCTTATCGAATCCTCTTCCGAGGTGCTGCAGCTGATGCATTTCTTCTCTGCGCGGAGCGGCGCGCTTGGCCTGTAGGTGCTGGAGGGGGGTTCGAGCTGGCCGGATCTGTGTTGCGAGGGAGCGAAGCCTGCGCCGGCGTCGCGTCCTTCCCTTTCTTCCCTCTGTTGCGTCCGTTCGTCGTCTGCGTCTCTCACTCCGCCCGTCGTCCACCGCCGGGATTTGGCGCCCCGTCTGCGCCCGTTCGGATGATATGAATATGTGTGCTTTCCGTGATGCTATTGCTAATGCGTTGGTTGGGTGATTCATTGTTAGAAACTTGAGTATTTTGTAGCAATTACAATACCCAAATGGATGTTATTTACGACTATTATTGTACATTGCAATTTAATGGATCCATATTGCTATCTCAAACTTTAAAAATATTCCAGAACAGATAATCTACCATAAATAATCAGGACAGCCAAACGCCCAGCTTATTCAGACAGCAAATTCTCCAGATCGTGACTTATTAGATAAGCCTGCTCAGCTTATAAGCGAGACTCAGAAAAGCTGAAACAAACAGGGCCTATATCAATGACTGCAATCAAAATTTATGACCGAATGTAGATTGTTCCCAGAAAAATGATTTTCTGCTTTGTGTTTCAGCTGTGGCATATATAGGATTTTTAATTTCAGTATCTGCCCAGTGATGTATAGACTATGAGTGCTAGGATAGTGCATAGTGTTTGCAGTTTGTCAGTGAATTCTGTGATAGCCTGTTGTGTTTGAATTTTTTTGTCAAAATATTGTGTGATGACTCCTTTTAGCAAGACGATTGTGTTTGGTCAATATCCTACTATGTGGTGGCATGACAGTAGTTCAGTATGAAGACCAGAAGATTGATCTTGATGTATATTGATAGTAAAACATTAATTTTTGTGATGTTATGTATCTGGTGGGTTTCTTTACAATTGTTAACTATGGTTTTCAGGTTGATGAATCATAAGAGAGACATCAATGCCATTTAGTTGTATCTACTAATTGATTTAGGTATCAAGCAATGGTGCTTGCTTGCTAGTAGCTAAATCAAATCTTGATTACTTTAGAGTGCCTTCTGGGCTTCACTGGATTGGTTTATCTTAGATAGCAGTTAAGCAGGTCTGGCTATCCTTTTCTTGGTTGGTGGAAGTAAAGCTTCCTCCATGGTCTTGCTTTTGTGGTTAAGAAATGCCTGGAGTGGAGTGTCAAAACATTCAATTCCAAAGTCCTATGAAATTGTTAATGCAACACATGGAACCTGGTTCCTGGTGAACCGTTTTTTCAACCTGATTCATGGTTCAAAAATCTTAATGGGGTAGGTAGCTAATTGTTCACACTAATCATGGACAGAATCAATCGGCATGATGTGTATATGATTTTCATGTCTAATTGCTTTGGAAGCACCAAAGCAGTCTTCCAAATCTGTTTTCTCCCTAAGCATACTTAATATGATCTCACAGAAGCGTTCAACTTTCACTTTAATGGCATGTAGAAAGTTCATCTCTCGAGTCCTGTTGTGTACCATTTTCCATGTTCATAA